CTCAATATAAATAACAACATTAAACAACAACTCAAAAATAATAATGTATAACAAAATTATATCAACATCAACAATAACAATAAACTTATAACGTAATTATCTCAACAAAAACAACAACGTATAATATTCAATCTCAGTTAAAAAAACAATAAAAAGATTAAACATTTAGGATTTAGGCTCTCAACAAAAATAACAACAACAACATCAACGACAATGACATGCAACAACAACAACAACAATAACAACAATGTAATATGAGTAGTGATGTTCGATGTACCGGATATGTGATGAAGAAGTAAAAGAAATAATTTCGGTCTTTCATTCGGACAAGTATCGAATGAAATCCTTAAACATATGCTAGAGGATGATATGTGTTTAAGATTCTCGTTGTTTATGGTTCTTCGTTACAGTTTTACGTATTTTGTTTTAGTGTGTTGTTTTATGTAAGTGAAACTAAAAGCTATTAGATAAGCTATATACAATAAGACTAAACTATTTCATCTCGATTGGTAAACATAATCGACGTGAAAAATGACTTATTTTTGGATTAAAAATAAAATATGAAGGAATGTATCACTTTTAATAAATAAAAACATAAAATGCAATTGTTAAGATTCGAAGTATGTATCATGAATTAGTTTATCCATCAATTATCTATTTGAACCGGCAAAATATATTATATTTAAAAAAAATATATAGCGCACCCAAAAATTATACCACAATTTTTGTTAAGTGATGTAAAATTATAATCCTAAAATATATTATTTATAATAGTGTTATTTCTATTAATATTCTAACAATATTTAGTTCAAACACTGAAAACAACATGAAAACTGGTGTTGTATGACATCGGTGTTTTGTAGTTTAGTGTAATTTTTTATAACTAGTGTTTTTCTATTTAAAATAAGATATCAATTAAAATAAGATATCATTTAAAGTAAAAGTCACATTTTTTTATTGGTTTTTTATTGGTATGACATTGGTGTTTTGTAATTCTATCATCAAATAGTTTCAGTTCTCTTCCAATCGCAATTATGGAAGATCGAATTTTGATTTTATCAATTCTAACGTCAATTACAACTAAACCAACTAACAATTAATAGACAAAAATCACATTTATTTTATAGGTTCTTGCACCTCAATGATAACTATGTGTTTTTAGTCTCAATAATATTAGAATATCTATTTAAAGCCAAAATCACATTTATTTTCTAACACATCTAGTTTTTATATTAAAAAGACATCACTCAAAGTTCACTTTAGACCTTAAAAAATGTCCTATGGATGAGGATGGACTTATGGTCCCCTATCTAAATATCTGAGGGCATATCTCTGTGAACTTATATTGTTGTTTCCAAACTATGGTGTTGGTCCCTTTTATTAGAATCTAATAATAATTTGTCTACTTGTACTTTATCTAGAAAATATGGTCTACCAATATTGGAAAGGGATCAGATTCAAATTCAATCCAAACCAAATTTCCAATGTTGGTTAGGCTGAATAACCTATGTAGTGCTTCCCTAAATATGTGTTTGTTAAGTTTTAATCATCTTTGGACACAAATGCTTATATCTGTTTGGAAAACTAACAAGATATGTAAATTGTTTAGTTTAAGATATTTGTGTAAGGTTCATGGGCTCCATATATGCTTCATTGTTTGGACTTTAGAGCATTGGAATTTATGCTCTATCCACTAAACCTAAGCTTTTCTATAATATACTATAGTAACTATTTATCGTAAATTCTTTTCTTTTTTTTTATATGTAAATTGGATATATTTTGCATGTAATTGTGGAGATTGATTTCTCAATCATAATAAATGATAAAAAAAAAATTCTAAAAAATGTAACAATATTGTGTACCCAAATAGTTAGCTATTTAACCATCTCACACGGATTTTAAAAAATTAATAAATAAAAAGAGATCAGAATAATTTACTATATTAACTTAAACTTAAAAGTAGAAATACAACATTTATTACACTCAAAATCTAACCTAAAAGATAAAGCAATATCTAGCATAGTATAATTACGAAAAAAAACAATATCTAAAGAGGCAAGAATGTCAATACAATCATTGTCTTATTTATAAAATATGAGAAATTAAAAAAAATCTTATATATTAAATTAGTTTAATTTTCTTTTGAGATTCCAGAAAACAAGATTAATATTGAAGAAGTCATTTTCTACAAGTTTAGAATCACATTCTAATCAAAGATCATTTAATTTCTTATGTGAAAATTTCAATAACAAACATGATCTTAGAAATAAAGCATGAATATAAGAAAGAAAGACGCAAATAACTCATAATTATCGTACTCCTATAAACTGAAAAATGATAATTGATCATTGATGAATATAATATTAATTAGGGTGGAATTGATATAAAATAAGTAATAAGTAAACTATATCAAAAACTTAGTTTTATTCTTTACAAAACAATTTAATTATATAAATATGTAATAGTTATTTTGATGCCAGAGTATATTTTTGGTGAATAAGCCTTTTTCTACTAAATGTACTTAGATATTATGTAACATCACCTCAATAAGATCCGAGAAAAACCTAAGAATTTGTGGGAGTGTATTTAGCCAAATTGACTATTTACGCACTTTTGGGGTCTCTAACACGACTAATGACCACCAAAAGATTAAAGGAAAGCAAGATTATGAGTTTTGAATTGGGTCTGTGACTGATTTAGCATCGAGCACGGTCTAATTCATGTTTATGTTGAGGATAATTTAAAATGCTTGTCCAGTCGAAAAACATGTTTTCCATATGCTTTTCTTCTAAGGACACGTCACCAATCGAACTTACACGCCTCACGTGATTAGAGGAATCGTTCTATCATTCGTAACAGGCAAGTTCATCCATTACTTGTGGATTATAGAACGGTTCATCCAGAATGATGAGCACGTGCTGCTCATCCCTGCTTTCACGTGGGAATCCTGGCCGTCATTCGTTGTGGGCCTGAACACTCAGCCCACAAGAGAGACCATTGGCCAATCGCTCGGGGATCACAATAAATACCATCCTCTGCAGGAGGATCGGGTATTCTATTCTCTAATCCTTATTCACTTACCTCTTCACCCGAACTGACTTAAGTATCAGAGTGCTTGCAGGTACAACCCCACGGTTCGAGACTACTCCCGTGTCGCCGACCACTCACCCGTTCTGATCAACAGTCAAGATCAGTGGTGCCATCAGTGATAGTTTTTTCCCCTTATTTTCTTTCCATGAAACCAAAATATCAAAACATAAAACTCAAAACTGATCATGATCGACCAAGACGACGACAACAATGACGATCGCAAAACAATCATCTCTCCCGTCTATAACGCTGACAACGATGCTGAAATGCTACTCTTGGAGGAAGGCTCTCCACTGAGGAGAGACGGATGCATCGCTTCCCCCTCATTCGATGACGCGACCGTGTTAGCTGAGAGTTTCGACGATAGAAAAATAAAGATATTTTTATAAGGTTTGACTGATCAAGATTATGGATGGTCCAAACTTGTTGAAATAATTTGATTGAATAAAGGTTTAGAGATTTAATTTTCAAAAATCGGTTCGTTATGGCACGTTGGATACGAATGAAAAGTGGATTCAAATTCATACATTTGATCTTATCCAAAAGATGCGTGGTGGTTTGATATTTCGAAAGTGCATGCAAAGGCCGAACGTGGCATTTAGGCGTAGAGTGATCGTTAAGGTCAAAATAGTATAAATAAGAGTCTTAGAAATAGGATTCATGTGTTCATTCGTTTGTACAAAATCTCACATAAACTCAAAGTATCTGCTTGTTGAGAAAAGAGTCATCTAAGAAATGTACGTGTAAACACCATCTTTTACTTTAGTAAAATTTCCTTTTTCCAGAAATTTACTTATAGCAATTTACTTTCGATTTACCTTTATTGCATTACCTTTACAAATCTTTTCATAGGTTTATTTCGAAGAGTCATTCAAATCGAAATCAATATTATTTAAAAGACTATGAATGTTGTCTAAAGTATTCTTTGTTTTTAAGAACAAAAGTTTGAATAAGAACACATGACCTAGGATCAATCTAGTCGATCACTACAACATTTAGGCTCTCCAGCAACAATTGAAAAACGTTGTCAGAACTCTGAAAATCGTTGCCTAAAACAATAGGGGACGTTTTCTGGGCGTCTCCTGTGCGAGCGTTGCCTATTGTTTGAGGCAACGTTTTTTTATGTTTTTTGGGATCGCTTTTGAAAAACGTCGCCTATAGTAAAGGAATAGGGGACGATTATTTACGGCCTCTGAGACAACGTTTTTTAAGCGTTGCCAAATTCGGCTACAATTAACAATCGTTGCCTTAAACCTGAATCAGGAAGATCGTTTTTGAAATGTAGCCATAGCTTATAGGTTGTTGTTTTATAATGTCCACATAAAATATACAATTTTGCAATTATTATCAAAATAATATAGTCAATAATAATTGGCTTCAAAAATAATATTGATTATATAACTTAAACCATACATCCATAAAAATTGTAATATAATAAAATCGAGTTCGAACTTTAATTCAAGATATAGTATATAGAGTACACAAAATGCCTAACGTAACAATATTACTTTTAATACTTTGAAGTATGACCCTAGTAAAATAACTAAAAACATAGTTCAGCAAAAGAACAAAAATCATATTTCAAGTTTAATGCTTTCAACTACAAGCCAAAAAAAGACATCATCCAACTCATTCAAGTTTGTCTTCTAGGAGTAAAGCATCCAGATCGTCCTCTTGAAATTCGTTAGATATGTCATCCTCCATAAATTCTTCATCTACGTCGTCCTCTTGAAATTCACCATCTATATCCTCCTCTTGAAATTCATCATCTAGATCTATGTCGTCCTCTTGAAATTCGTCATCTACGTCGTCCTCTTGAATTTTATCATTTAGGTCGTCCTCTTGAATTTTATCATTTATGTCGTCCTCTTGAATTTCATCATTTATATCGTCCTCTTGAATTTCATCATTTATATCGTCCTTTTCAACATTTTCAACATCTTCATTGATACATTGCTGCATAAGAAAATAAAATAAAACACATTAACCATAAGTATTTTTGGTCCAAAGGACAATTAAGACATCAACAAGAATTAAACCTCGCACAAATAAAAACTAAACCAATGAGCAAAACACATTGTTTATATTCTTCACATCTCATGGATGTGAATTAATTATGAAGGTTTTTAATGGATGTGAATTTTCATCATCACTATCACCATCAAGATCTATAAGACTCTCATCTTCACCATGATAAATCCATTCAGTGTATCCCTTTACAAATCCTTTACTACATAAATGGTCATACACTACATCTCTTACTTCCCAACTATCATTGCAACATTCAGAACAAGGACACAAAATCTCTTCTTCTTCAACCATTCCTTTGGTGAATGCAATATCCAAAAAAGTAATTTACACCGTCCTTATAACTTTGACTATGTGGAGGTAACTCCACCCAATCCTTCTTTATCATGTTTGGTTTTCTAAAATGAAATAAATTATACATTACTCTTTATCATATAAAGGATGGAAAAACACCATGGTTCATATATCAACGTAGTTTTTACAAATGCATAGTTATTATAAAAATTTCATTTATAATCTAAATATACACTAAACATGCATTCCAATACCAAACATAGAATAAATTGGTGAACTTTTAATCTAAACATGCACAAACATTTCATAGTCTAATATAATATGTATTTGTTGTTTCTTTTCAAACTATATAATATGTATATGTTACCTGAATTCTTTCAACTTGATTCCAACAGTAATAGAAACTAAAATCTTGTCCTTAGTTACAAGCGACTTCGATTTCAACACAACTTCCTTCACTGCAACAACAACAACAAAGCTAGTAAATGAAACGGAGACGTTTCTTTCCCAAACAATGTTGAAACCGATGAAATATCTATTGAGGTTTAACCGAAACAACGACGGTGAATGATCTACAGACAAATAATTAGAAAATGAGAAAATGAAATGCAATTACAATTACAAACTTATTAAACAAAATTTGCAGACTAAGAGGTATAACTTGACCTGTAATTCAACAATTTTATTGAGTTTTTCCGTTTCTACTCAGTCTGATCGGACCGAGTTTTTCTTATCCTACTCGGTCTGATTGTTGTTTTTGCTCATTCACTTATTTATTATCACCGTACTAATCACTTTGTTGTGTCATATCTAATTGATAAATATTAAAAAAAAGTATAATTAATAATTAATTATAAAAGTAATATTGATAAGTTCCAAATATATTTGAGGATTGGACATACGTGTATCAAAATAAATACAACAGATACATTTAATCTAAGTTGAGAAAAATATTTTTCATCGGAGAAAACTCACCTATCCAGCTTTGGTATGAGCGGGACCATGAAGGGCTTTGATAGTGAATTGTCTGAAGTATAATTTAAATTTTACAGTCCTTTAAAGCATGTGCGTCATCCATGAGTACACATCTTCACTTCCAACGCTTCAGGATTTTACCATCATCCTTCTGTTGTGGAGTAGAGCAAATATATATTTTAAAACTATAATTAATGTATGAAAAAGTCATATAAGTAGCAAAAAAAAAGTATAGGAAAGAACCTGTGTCGGTTCGAAAAGTGAATAACACACAAGAAGAACATTAAATGGGGGAGGCAATCCTGCTTTGGATAAGGAGTTTAACTCCTTGCAGTATGTTGCGCGTGCGTGACACATGAAATCAAAAGTTAATCACAGATTCATAACAACCATACCAACCTCTAATTCTAAAGCACAAATACTGTTACCAGAATCAAAACCACAAACAAAGCTTTAAAACATCAGTGGCACTATACACACAATAATGTTCCAATAAACACAAATTCAAAAGCTGCACAAACATTAATCACACAGCAAGCATGTCATTCCACAACAATGAATAATCACCATCACATGAAACAAACAGTCACAATATTGAGAAAACCGTAATGAAATATCAAAATATCTATCCTATCATGGATTCTTTTTCAAATAACACAATAACAAGTAGATGTGGCAATTTAATCCATTACAGAGTGTGAAAGATAATAGATTATAGAAGCATAATCCAAAATGAAGCTGAAGTTACTGTCCAAAAGCAAGTAAATAAATAAAATGGAACTAAAGTATCTGACCTTTTTTCAATATTTACCAGACCTCTCTCCATCATTTCATGACGAAGTTTCTCTGCCTTTTCGGTCTCATTTCTCTTGAGCAGTGCACCAATAATTGTATCAAAAGTTACAGCATCAGGGAGGCAATCATTGGTATCCATTTTTGATAGTAAGAGTGTAGCTTCATCAAAAGAGCCATCTTTACAAAGTGCATTGATCAATATAGTATATGTTCGGACATTTGGAGGACAACCATGCACCAAAAGGTATTGAAGAGCATCTTCTGTAATCTTCAAGAGTTCAATAAATCATCAACTATCGAAACATACATTTACAAGCATAGCACAACAGATTGCACAAACGAGATAACCAGTTAAATGTGAATAACTTACCCCCTCGAGTTTTCTGAGAAGTGCCCGTCACAGGGGTGTCATCAGTGTTTTTAGCCCCATATTCACGTCCTGACTCTGACACATCCATAGCCCCAGTCTGATATAAGCAAGCAAACCAGATTCAGAAAAATACTTGGGCAAAGATTATGAAGCGAACATTAACAAAAACTCATAGATTAATTACAAGTGTATGACTTGAGGTATGAGTGCAAATCCAGAATTATCTTCCAAATGCAGAATTGCATGTACAGTGTAAATAGATTTACAAACTTTCATCGATATGAATACATAAAAACAAACCGCTTTATGGAACAATTGAAGTGCAAAGTGAAGCTCTGATCTAGTGCGAAATGAGAGAGGAAATTTGGATGGAATCCCATCCTCAGAGACGCTACAAGAGAAGTTAAAAAACCGAAAATGAAAAATGAAAAAGAGGGAAAGGTGTAAGAAATTCTCACCATTCTCGGCGGTTGAAGAGCAACTCTTGGATTCTAGGATGCCCAATAAGAAAAATATTCGTTCAGAAATTTTACCGAACACTTGGTGGACATAGCACGAAACACTATGCTAAAAGGATACTTTGTCCTCTGACTACATTTTCTAGTTTCTCCTCATTTTCTACCAAAATTTCCTTTGAAGATGCAAACTGCACTAAAAATATAAAAGTGAAGAGCTAAAGTATTACTTGTACAAGTGAATACTTACTGCAATCATGACACTTTCATGGAATATCAACGGAGATATGAACACCCAAAAGATGTTGTAGGCAAAAGCAGAAGAGAGGAGTACAGTCGCAACCTATTAAATTAGATGAATAAGAAAATGACAATAATTGTAATTGATGACAAACAGAAAAAATTAAGAAAAGGAAGAATGGTCAATTAACTGTAGATATAAGGATTCCATTTAGCTACCTTAATATTGGGTAATTGAGCCAGCTGCAAGACTGTTATCATCAAACAGATTCCCTGTTAAGAACAAAAAATACATTAAGTGAACAGCTATCAGTCAAAGATCAATCACACAGTTACTCATTGGTTTACAGTCTCAAACATGCTAGATAGCAAACAAACTTCCAGTGCAATGCTTCAGAAAGCTCAATAGGAACCAACCAAGATCCCAATGTTGTATTTGGCCCATGTGTGCAGACTCATACAGAGGCATTATTTAAAGATTTGACAATAATAAACTTGACGAGTATGTGTAGGGAAATGGGAATAATGGTCATAAGATTTCCAATTTATAGACTAATGAACAGCGCTCAAGTAATCAGGTTGTTAAAATTGTTAAAACTTCAAAGAACGGTGGATGAGGAACCAGTTGTCAAATCAATTGGAAACTTAATAGATGAGCTATAAAGTGTGTTAAACCATGAATTCCTGTTTTGAAACTTTTAATAGGACATGTTCACATATGAGAACTAGGAAAATCCGACTACAGAAACCATTGCAAACTTCTACTCTAGTTTATCATACAAAGCTTCTAGCTTCCTCTCAACTTCAAATGACAGACAGTATTCACAAACAACATTTAAGAAAGGGAATTGACTTTTGTCTGCTAGGCATCTGAACAAAGTAAGATTCAATTTAGACACTGCGGTGATAACAGAATTTAAAGAACTGTAATGAAGATACTAGAATATGAAACTTACAACCCATTGATTAAAATCCCATAAGTAAACTCATCAAAAAGATACCCTTGGGCTACTAGGTCTTGGTAAAAGTTCAAAGCTTTAAAAATCATCCCATTCATACAAAAACCATTAATAATTGTATTAAAAGTCACCATGTTAGGTTCATAGCCACTCTTAAGAATGGTACCCAATAACGAAAAAGCAAAACCCATATGAGATTGATGACAAAAACAGTTAATCAAGATGCTGAAAGTAGCAATGGAAGGTGAAATTCCCCTAAGTTGAAACTGCGAAAAAAGAGAAATTGCAGTGGGATAATGACCCATCCTCACAATAGCTCCTAAAACCTTGTCAAATTCACAAGTGGGTGGCGGAGAAAGTGCGCGAATCAAGCAATTGAAACGAGTAACAGCAGCATCTACATTATGAAACCCAGAACTTTTTCTACCATAGTGGCGTTGCAAATGACTGAAGAAGCGATAAAGAAACAATGTAGAAGAAGTTAGAATAGGATTAGGAGAGAATTTGGGAATGGCATACCTTGGATTTAGCATCATCAATAGAGTGAGGTGATTTCACACTCGAGATTCGTTCCGTTCCGTTCCTCTCTCGTTTTCTTCTTCAACTGCGGAACGAAAAGCTCTTGTTGTCACTGTGTGTTGCAGCAAGGGTGGTGTGTGGTTTTTCTCTTTAAATCAGAACCATTCTTCATTAAAAAATGATAATAATGCAAGGTGAATAGAAATATGATGCTCCTAGGGTTTATGTTTTGATTCTTTTCAGTCTCCACCTCCAACATCAGCTCATGCTTTGTGACAAGATTTTTGTGTATTTCTATGTTTTTAGAAGAAAAATTCATGTTTAATTGAAATATATATAAGTTTTAGACTATATATATATATATATATATATATATATATATATATATATATATATATATATATATATATATATATATATATATATATATATATATATATATATATATATATATATATATATATATATATATATATATATATATATATATATATATATATATATATATATATAATTTTTTATTTTCTGTTTAATTGAAATTTTTTATTTTTAAATTTCTGTGTTAGAAAAATATTTTTTTATATATATATTAATAATGTTTAGAGAAAAATATTTGTTTTTTAGTGTATAAGATTTGGAGGGAAGATTGCCACCCAAAATTTGATAATTCTAAAAAAATTTATACAACATTTCAGAAATGTAGCCTTTTATTAGAACTAATGTAACAATCTAAAAATGTCTCCAAAAATATTTTAGGGGACAATTGTCAAACATTGCTAAAGAAATAATATTTTAACGCTCTAAAATCGTCCCCAAAAGCAGTTAAGGGCACAATTAACAACCGTTGGCAAAAAAAATAAAAGAGTATCGCTTCATAAACGTCCCCAAAAGTATTTTAGGCGACGATTATCAAGGGTTGCAAACATATTTTTGACAACAATCGTAAATCGTTGCCTATATGAATTTAAGACAACAATTTCTACATGTTACCTAAAAAAGTGTTGCCAGAGACAACAAATGTTGTAGTGGATCCTGCAAACAACTAAAGATTTTTATTGTTTTTAGAAGACTAGCGCTTGTTTACCAATTTTCACGGTAAACAAATTGGCACACCCAGTGGGACCTGTGTTCAATTAATAAATATTTTGTTCCAGTAAAAAGTTTTAAAAATCTTCATCATCCTCTTGTATTTTTCTGTGTTATATGAGACTTAGAAGTGATAAATTAGCCACAAACAACAAGGAAATACCTAAGAGAAAGTACATTAAGAAAATGGAAAACCAAAATCAGTCAGGTAATCAGAATCCTCCTAACAATGATGAAGTACCACCCCCAGTCACTTCGACAGGGGGAATTGTTGCTTCTATGCCTTTTTCAGAGGCTATACCATTTTCAACAAGTTCGACGCCAATGTAGTCGAACACGTACACTGACCCTATTTTGACCTATATAGGACCACATGGTCCACAAGGGACCCCCCTCAAGGGGGAAATACTTTCCATAGGCCTCAAGGGCCGCCTGGTTTTTCCATTCCTCTAAATGGTCGTGAGCGGTCTTATGGCATGCCATCTTCTTTTAGGATGGGTTTACATAGTTCCACTTCAACATACTTAGATCCTGTGATGAGCGTTACTTCGCCATTACAAGGTTCTGGATCTACTTTTAATAATAGGGGTCGAAATGTCCAACCCCAGGTAGAAGGAGTTTCTTCATAAATGCCAAATTTAACAAATCACTCTACAACAGTAACTAGACAGCAAATGGACGAAAATAACCATGAAATGGTCCAAATGCTTACACAAACAATGAATACAATCTTTAACCCTTTGATTCAAAATACCACTCAAGTGAACCAACAAATGGCTGCGCAAATGATGCGTATCGCTGAATTCTTTGGTGTGCCCCAACCCCACCATGTCCTCAAAGGGAATGGTTAGGGAAAATCAAGGGGTAGTCTTTGAAGAAGACCCAACAATTAGCCAAGTTCAACATAATCAAAGAAATGCACGCCAGGCGAATATGGTAAATCAGAGAGGGGTAGTCGAAGTACCTAGAGTTACGAATGTCAAAATACCTAGAGCCAAACATCTTAGGCTAGAACCAAAATTTCTAAGGGAACTAGAACCTAAGGTTATGATGGTAAATAGAAATCAAAATTATGATGAAGTCATATATCAAGTTCGACAAGATAATACGGAAGCAGACAATAATCTAGAAGCCATGGTCGAAAGGATTATGGCTCGAAATGGTATGAATGTTGAACTTCATAGGCCAAGTTACACTTCACCATTGAGTGAATATATCTTACAAATGGATATACCTCCTAGATGGAAAGTCCCCAAATTTACTAAATTTTCTGGGGACACTACTGAGTCAAATGTTGAACATGTGGCTAGGCACCTGATAGAGACATGAGAAATAGCCAGTAACGAAAACCTTAAGATTAAATACTTCCAAAGTTCACTAACGAAGAATGCTTTTAGATGGTTTACAATATTACCAACAAGTTTGATCCATTGTTGGGCTTAGTTGGAAAGGTTGTTCCATGAACAATTTTACATGGGACAGACGAAGATTAGTTTGAAGGAATTGGCAAGTGTTAAGCGTAAATTCACTGAGCCCATAAATGATTATATGAACTAATTTCGTTTGCTCAAAGCCAGATATTTCACTCAGGCGCCTGAGCATGAGTTGGTCGAAGTGGCCGCAGGGGGTCTAGATTATTCCGTTAGGAAGAAATTGGATACCCAACACTTGAGAGACATGGCCCAGTTGGTTGATAGGGTTCATCAGATAGAACTCTTAAGGATTGAAAAGGCTAGAGCAAATAAGAATAACATAAAAGAAAGGATATCGTATGTTGAATTAGATGAAGGTGATCTGGGGTCACATGAAGACTTTTTAGAATTTGAAGAAGGCGAAATAGATCTTGCTGAACTTAAGCAAGGACCCCCTTATTCTTGTAAAGTTTTGCACCTTCGAATGGTAAAAATCCAGTCGAACCTGATAAGGGCGATAAATTCCCCAAAAGAAGTTATACTCTTGGTGCTAAAATATCCCCTTTGGAACAAAGGAAAAAGAAGGGTTTTTGCAAATATCATAATTTTTTGGGCCATAAAACATCTCAATATTTTCTTTTCAGGGATCTCGTTCAAAATGCAACCAAAGAGGGAAGGCTCAAATTTGGGAAGAAATCAAAACCCCATATGAAGGTTGATGCTCGCCCCCTTTATGTAGCTGAGGCCCATTATGTTGAACCAACTTCGATCAACATGGTAGCAGTCACTGAAGATTGCACCAAAGAGGTGGTCATGGCTAAAGTTGAAGGTTTCACAAAGAAAAGCATTGATGGTAGGTTTACATCATATCGAAGGCTACTGAAGGCCTAATGGTAGAAACTACTGATGGTTTCATGCACATTGACAACACGACTCAAGCTACTGAGGACCTTGTTGCCAAATTACGTGATATGGGCATCACTGATGACGCACGTGTCGAAGTAAATATGGTTGAAGCTTCACAAAAGACTGAGATGGAAGTGGATGAAGAGGCAAGGATATGGAAGGAATGTAACCAAGTGGCATATCCTAAGAAAATTGAAAGTTTGTTAGAATTTTTCCAGAGGTGCCAGAGGAAAAAGTCTGAGGTCATGTTGTTCCCCATATGCATTTCAATCTTTAATAAAAAAGCTGCTGAAAACATTGAAGGCTATCGAAGGATCAAAAAAAGGAGGAATCAGAAAAATGGAAATGACAGGTTTGCCTTTGATAAGAGGGGAATTCTAAGAAACCAGAACCAAGGAGGACAGGGGTTTCGTGTGAATAACCAGTCTTCTTTCAAACCAACTGCTGAAGTCCCCAAAGGGAAATGGGCGAAGCATGCTCATAGGTGGGACCAAGACCAGGCTAAGTGGAAGAACTTCGAAGTTGGGAGAGGATCTTTGATGGAATATCAAAAGGAATTTTAAGTTACTAGGTAACATGTGTGTGATCGATGGAAATAGAACTGACTGTTTTTAGCTGGATCGCGTATGTCGCGGTAAGCAAGAGTCGCCACCGTCTTTTATGTTCTCCAACAAGGAAAGGAAAAAAGCACAGCAAAATTCCTTTTCGAGATGTTTCTCGGTTCGGGAGGTAGATTATAGAAAGGGAAGGTGTTAGCACCCTTTCTATCCGTGGTTATCCACGGGCTCTTAGGTACTTGCTCTTATGTTTTCAAAATTTGTTTGCTTTTCAAATGTGAGTGGGTTTGAAAAAAGTTCCGTTTTTGAAAGATTTCTAAGTGACTCTTGTATCTGTCCTCAAGAGTGTATGAAAAATTTGTTTGAAAACTTTTGAAAGTGTCAGTGTGAAAAGATTGTTTTATTTGTTTTTTAGAGAGCAAGTACCCATGAGTCATCTACCTACCCTAAGGAATTAGGCTGTGTAAGAGTCCTTAAGATAGTGTCATCCCATCATTGAGAGGTATGTAGCACCACCGTTGGAGGTGTTCAGGTCAATTCGATTGTTAGGGACATTGTGGTCACCGAAGCAATAGTAGGACACCTTAGAAGTAACCCTAATGTCCTAGATCCTTTTTAATCAGAGGCAACCGTTTCGAGGCAACTGGATCTTAGACATAAGGGCGACCGCTAAAACACCCTATACTTGACGACCACTTTCGAGGCAACGAGTGAGGCGTACCCTAGAAGTGGCGTGTGCATTGTGTGTTGTTTTCATGTTAACATTTATCTTGGATCATGCAATTGTGAGCTACGAGTTGTTTTTAATTATCATACATTCTTTCATGCAATTTAGCAGTTAGGAGTGCGGAAAATAAAATACGGAAAGGTAAAAGCTACGCTATTACAAGGCGCGGGTCTATACATCGCCAAAAAACAAAGACCCGTTTTTGATAAAGTGCAGAAAGTAAAGAAAGCAATAAGCCTAATTACTATTACATTCCGGAAACAGTTACATAATAATCAGATAAAAAATAATGTGCAAATAGAAATTAAACTGGACGTCCTTAGGGTTTTGACCCTTTTGAGAAATTACGAGCTTTTTTGTCCTTTGCTTTAAATTAAAATTAAACCTAATTATTTAATTAATTATTTACAAGAAAGATGTTTTTTATGTTTTTCTGTATTTAATGAAAATAAAATAAATTAAAAGTCAAAAGAAAACCCTAGTTCTAAGTTTATTTTAATTATTATAAAAATGTTAAAGTTAAGCTAATTTAAACTAATTACTTAATTTACATGTTATTTACAAAAATAATAGTAACTAATAATGATGATAATTAATTAATTAAGAAAATATGAATAAAAATGTTAAAAAACCTAATTCTATATGATTTTTATTTATTAAGAAAAAGGTTAAAATTAAACCTAAATTAAACTAAGTTAATTGTTAGCATTTATTTACAAAAATAAGTTAATGATGAAATTAATAAATAATTAAAATATATTTACAATTTTTGATTTCTGGTTTTATTAGGAAAAATTAATTTGTGAATTAATAATAATAATAATAATTAAAGGAATTAAAAGAAAAGAAAATAAAACAAAATAGCAAACCAAGGGGGTATGTTGACCCATATGGAGGTGTACTGAAACAATCTTGGCCCATTAACACAAGCCCTTTATTGACTCCTGGGGATTGGCTATGCATGCGTTGACTGGAACACACCATGGTCTTCATCTTCTGATCATTGGATGTACCTTTGTGGCCACTTGGCGTGCTATTGCTGGGAGTGCATGGTGGAGTATTGGACATATGCTGCATTGGAACACGTTATGAAAAATAGAAACAAGAGTTTGGGGGACCTGGGAATCGAACCCAGGTCCCAGTGATGAACAAACACGTCACCAACCACTCCACCATCTGCGTATGTTTGTAAACATATTGACAAATAAATATAATATTAAGGAACCAAACAGTTATGCCACAAAACAAAACGCGCGCCAATCATTTGAATCACCCGGTCATGTTCATCCACGTAATGTCTTCTTCATCTTTTCCTGCAAAACAAAGAACAAGTAGCGGGGGTTTTTAACCCCCACTAACTACAATAACGAAAAATAACGATTAGAGCTAGGGTTAATATAAATTGAGCGCGAGGGTTGGGTTGAATTCGTCTGGCCTTGACGAATTCAACCATTCTTGTCTCAAGGTCCAATTTTTCCTTATGTGAAAAGCCCTAAATTTCAAGCTTCTAAACCTTAGATATCTCCAATGGTGGATTTCGATTCAGAATGCTATAACCAAATTGGTTTATACCAATAGCTTCAGAAGGTTCCTGTTAACATAAATCAACCAAGAAAATGGATTAAAAGCACATGAATTATGATATGCAATTTTGGAAAATAATGCAAACCGAGTGACTTGGTGTGGACGATTCTGATGGTGTTAGGGCTTGTTCTTGAGTGCAATAGGTTCCTGGAGACTCAAGCAAGGTGTGTGAATCAAAAAGAGGCTTTGAATTGCGCTGCAAATAAGAATTCAGTTTCACACTTTTCTTGAATTTTTAGAGTTTGATTATGGTGTTTCAGCAGCAGTTTCACGTGTCTCAGAATAGGGTTTGCTTCAGCCTCTTTATGTGAAGAGAATTAGGTCAATTTTAAGCCCAACAATCCATTGCATTCATGTTTCATTATGTGATTGCCAATCAAATATTTTTTAATCTTTTTCTTTGATAAAACCTTGCCAATCATGGAGATTTTGATGTCTTTGAGGTGCACACGAATTTCCAGCTTGCCCTGATCTCATTTGCCTTATAAAAAGATTTGAAAACCATGTTTTGATATTTTCCTATAATTAAATTAATTAAATGAATTATTAATCAATTAAAAATACAAATAATTAATAAAAAATGAGAAAATAAATCAAATTAATCTTAATGGGTCGTGCATAAGCCTTGGGTAAAGATTCAAGAAGGAATTTGAGGCCCATTAGCAAAAATGAAGTGTTTTAGGCAAAGTTGACTTTTGCAAATTCACAAAAATTTCCCAACTTCATCAATGCATATCTTGCTCAATTGTGAAGCTATGAACATGTTCTTGGACATTTTGGAAAGGTCTTGAAGTCCTCTAACCAATGTCTTTGGTC